AATTGAAAATTATTTTTTGTTTTGAAACCAGGGTATACTCTCGAGGTGTTCCTTGACGCCGACGAAGCTGTTCAGAATTCGTTTCAGCTATCACAAATTAAAAAAATATTTTCCGCAAATAAAAATCGACGTTTCACTTGACACAATACATGTAATAAATAAATCACCGTCACCGTGACAACCAGAAAAAAGTATTAATGTACAAAGAAGTCCGTAACAGTCCCATTGTCACCAAGAAGTCAGAATCTGATGAGGGTAGTTTCACACTACAGGAAAATGAAACCCACACCCATGAAAATCGAAAAAACCGATAAGCAAACTTTTTAGGTCGGTTTTTTTTTTCAATAACAAAGTTACACTTAAGATAAATATTTACCAACATGGCGTAAATCCAAATCAAGTCCTATATTATCATTGTTTATAGGTAATGCTATTTTGCATCAACGTATTATTGTTACATAGTTTAAATTGTTGGCATTCATGCACCTTTATCGTAAATATCTTGACGAAATGGCATTTTATTGCCTGGAATAGCATCCATTGTCCTGAACACGTCTTGTTACAAAGTATTAATCAGCATTTATTTTCTCGTATAATTCACATTTTTATTACAAGAATCATTTTAAAGGTGTTGGCATCGATCCAAGTTCCGCCTTCTTGTCACTCCAATATAATCCATTATATTGAAAAAGCATTCTCTTATTTCAATATTCAGTGTGATATACAAACGAAACAACGGTTGATTGTCTTTTATTGTGCTCTTTTGCACAGAAAACGCGCTCAGTTAGTCCACACTCACACGAAGAAGCGTGAATAAATATAATTTATCATTTCAGCGAAATAAAAAAAATGTTCGCAAAGGAAGAGTTTTAATTATGTACAATCTACTTATCTATACTCTCAAAGTAGCGGAATATGTAAAGAAACATTTTTGTGATATACACAAACATATGAAATATAATAATCTCAGTACAGAGTACTAAAAAAACCGACCTCAGTTGTCGTCATTGATCCCCTACTTTGCCATCCTTAGAGGTGGAATATTTCCTTCAAATTTAAATACCACCACTACTGAGGGACCCTCTTTCCAACAAAAGAAGAATCATCAAAAGCGGTTCACAAATTTATCCGGAGCCGGAGTTATCGCGTAACATACATTAAAAAAACACGTCCTTCTTTTTTAAGTCGGTTAAAAATTGATAAATCTTTAGATTTTTTTCTATATTATTATTAATTTTTTTTATGATACCAATTGACGAAGCGAACAAAACATGCGCATGCATTTCTTCCTTAGGGTGGAAATATATCTTATTCACCTTCAACGACAATGTAAAACACTACAGCTTTGGGCGCCGTGATAAAGGGACTCTTCGAAATGGTTGTTGTAGCCAGGAGGACTAACGGGGCCTTTTTTGGGCCAGGCCTCTTAATAACCTAGTTATACCACGACTTTCTTTGTGTTATTGTATTTATTCTGAAAAAAACTTTCATAGATGGCGATGGTTTTTTTATGATACCTAGTGATGGGACGAACAAGTCATGGGCCTGGTGGTGAGCGACACTCCTGTCTATAACAGTTGCAATGCCCTTCAGAGCTTTAAATCGTAAAGATCTGAGGTACTGCTTTGCGCCGGTCAGCCTGAAATGTAAGTTGACAAGTCCCATGTGCCTGTAATTTTAAACCCTTACCCTTCAAAAACAAAACTTTTGGCAGCAGAAATAGGTAAGGAAACTTGGTCCAAGAACGTACTGCTAGTGCTTCCCTGGACGTACTCTTTCAGAAAGAACTCTATTGTTACTATATATCAGACGGCATATCCCTTTTTTAATTGTTTAATAAATGAATTGCTACTCGATAGATATTAATCGACTTTTAGTTCTATAACCGGTTTTTAATTTTTAAGCAAATTAATATTGTAAGCATCGATATGTGAACTTCATGCGCCCACGCGTTCCCCTCATCAATGCTCGATATATGTATACTGCGCAAGCGACCAGTCGATATCAACACACGACTTTAACCACGTGGGATGTTTATTATCTTATCCAGTTAATCTACTGAGCTATTTTCATACTATCTAGGACGAACACTGTGATACTATAATATACAATTTTAAATATGGCCAGCTATTGCAAAATCGACTGCATAATTTAAATTTTCACTATAAATGTTACGTGTTATGAAATGTACTTTACCTTGTTGCTATTGTAGTCTGATTATAAGCAAATTGTCATCCTTGTATGTTTTACGTCACACAATATTTGCGAAGACTGTTTTGTTTACATATTTTTTCCTTCTAACGACAAATACATTAATTCGAACTTACCTATATACAGGATTATTAGTCAAATACTAAATCAACCTCGCGGGACTATTATTTGTAACATCATAAACAATAACTTTTTCACATCACTAGCTCGGATATGCTTTCTTTCTCATTAGAAATTTGTGCTCAAATGCGTTTTTTTGCACGCTAGCGTGAAATTGAAATTGAAATTTGAACTTGGCGATCGATGGACTGTGGTGCACCTAACTTTTTATTTCGATGAAAAATAAAGATAATAATATAATAATTAAGCAATTCGTCGTACATTAACTTATTTATATAACATAAATCCGTTGGTATTTTTTACTCGTATTATTCTTGACATTAAGTTGACAATGATAACTAATTGTGTTTATTAAATTATTTCAATTCGTCAAAGAACTAAAATAATTTCAATAATCACTTAATCACACAAAATAAAAGTACAAGCAATAATAAATATTGTTGAGGTGTAAATTCAGAACGCATCCGAAGATAAACTTTTTCTTTTAATTTAAAAAACTAATGTTCTTTAGTTCAATTGTTTTTCTTTCATCTACAATTTCCTCGCTTTAGTGAGGTGAAAATTTGTGTGTTTCGCTCGGCAGCAAAGTTGTTTTGTGTCTCGTGCCTTGAAACCCTCACTACGCTCAGGAATCTATATTTAAACCACTCGCTTCGCGCGTGGTTCAATCTTAGCTTCCTTCGCTTGCTCAGGTTTCAATACAAGCACTCGCGGTAAACAACAACGTTGCAGCTTTAGAATAAGTTGCAGCCTTGCATAACAAATAACTATTATTCCATAACTTTTTACAAACAAAATAATTTAAAAAAAAACTTTTAAGTTTTGTTGTACTACCTGATATTTTTTTAAAGCGATCTAATTAAATATTTTAATTTTTCTATACGAAAGTTAAATCTGGTGAATTACGTTTTACAAATTACCCTGTATGGTTTACCTATATATTTTACGTCATTGCTTTGCGGTTTTCGAATTGGATGAATTAACTTGTACACAATGTGTCCTGTGAATAGTATACAATACAGAGAGTTTTTTTAAATGGGACTGTATGGGTAAATCCGAAATCATAGAAAGAAACTGCCTTAGGAACCATTAAGCTTTTTTTTCGTGAAAACAATTTTTGCGTAGTCAAATTTTTGGTCAAGCGTGAGTTGTCCATAAAAATGAATAAAATGGATCAAAATCCTTTTAGTGCTGATCGACTCAGTTTTATGTAAAGATGATTTCATTGTATGGAACGAAAAAATCAAGACAACAGAAGTTGGTAAAATTTAATAAAATGATTTTTCATAAAAAATGAATAATATTGACATTTTTTTAATGCTGATGTACTCAATTTCTTATGAGAATGATTTTATTGTATAGGAAGAAAAGAATCGGGACAGCAGACGTTGGAAAAATTTAAGACAATGTTGTTCATTGAAATGATCCTTACACAAAACTGAGTCGATCAGCACTAAAAAAGAATGTTGACCAGTTTTATCATTTTTGTGGACAAATCATGCTTGACCAAAAAATTGGCTTTGCCAAAATTGTTTTCACAAAAAAGACTTATGGTTCCTAAGGCAGTTTCCTTGTATCTTCTATGGTTTCGTATTTCTCCATGCTGTCCCATTAAAAAAAAAAAACACTGTGCATTAATGGTGACGACAGCTTCGACCAAAATATTTGTAAAACATATGTTACAAACAAGCTTACAACTTAGTTTAAGCCCAAACTTCCACTCCAATTATTTCTACATTATTATAATCGTAGGCGTGAGCCTCGTAAGTCATCGATCCAATTATTATTCAATTTCTACCAAATTAACAAAATGGGATCCCGAAACACCGATGTTCCCGAGATATCAGATTTAATTTATCGCAAGCAATGAATTCCACCAATTTTGGAAGTAAGGCCGTGTCAAGGCCGGAATACGTGATTAAGTCGACCCAAAAATGTTAGTGCTCTATTTAGGCCATTAGGTTACCTAGCCGCAACACGCTTAGCTCAAGCACCTTTTGTGATTCTTTATAGCCAATATCCTGTAAGTTCGGTTTGTGACACAAAGAAGTCTAGCAGAGCAGTCTCGCACGTGATCACAGTTACAATTAGTTAGTCGCGACGAGTACAATTGTATTGTACTGTATCAACACATATTGTAGAGGTTTAGGGTATAAGTTTACTGGGCTGAGTCAATGCGGGTTAAGAGTTTGACATGTGCAAGACCTCGAAAAGGTTGAATACCAAAAAACAAAAGCAAAAAACATTTTGCGACAAGACAAACATTATTGGTGACTCGAGAAATCAAGTAGAAAATATAAACAATAAAATGACCAGTAATTGCGACATGCGCATACGATAACAAGTACTCAGCATAGAAATACGTTTCAAGCCACATCTGAAATATTTGTTATTCGATAAGAAACCTATACGTAACACCACGAGACTTGCTAATAGGATAGCTTGCGTCGTGGCACACTTCTCGTTTACACTAATTCAATTTGCAACTGTTAATATTGCTTGTTGAAAAAGTGCTACATGCCATATATTTACGTAGTACTGAACGCATTAATTGGTAAATATACCTGCCATAACTTGGATCATTAATATTTGCCTCCTATCGATGCAAGATCTCGTAATTAGTCAAACTCATGGAAAATGCGGTTTGTAAAGTAGCGTATGTGTTACAGGATAGAGCAAGATTTTCGGACACAAGTTGGCAAATTCATCGAACATGGGCACGTAATGGTGATCCGCTCCCGTTGTCGCCTCCGCCTTCGCGGTCTGCGGCAGCACAGCCCGCTGCGCCTATCACCACGACCGAACCCCAACTTCGCAGCAATCGCTCCGACCAAAATGGCATCTACGACACCATTACCGTAAGTACTTCATCAACTATTATTATCATGATCATGATATTTTATATATATTTACTGGCAATAAGAACCTTACTGTTTACTTGATATCTAGGTAGTAGTATTTTTAGTACAATTGCATGGACTTAGGATTTATATTTTGTAGCTATGAATAATCGGTAAATGCTATAAATGAAGATAAATTATTTTAGTATTAATAAAAAGGTGCATTTAGGTTTTAGGGTACAAAATGTTCACAAAACTCAACAGCTTTGACCAGAAATTCTATTTTTATTTGAAAATATTTTATACATATTGTGCACTAAAGATTTCAATCAGGAAAATCTGATTCGTTTTCGAATACAAATATAATATCATATCATAATTGTTAACATTCATGGACAAATAGCAATTACACCGCGATGTTACACAGTATGCGTATATTATGTGTAGAATCAGTAAGTACGTACTTTGTTGTTCTTAGAGAAAAGTTCCCACTCCGATATAAGCTGATAAAAAGAGTAACTCGGATGCGGAACGTGCTTGTATTTTGTGCCAAACAAATAGTTTTATAAACTCGGGGAAAACAGGGATGCTTCTCCAAAATAGATAACCAAGTAGGTATGTTCATTCTTTCCAACTGTTTGTACTCCAAATCTTTCTACGAATACAAAGACGTATTGTTAATGAACTGAATCAATACAAGTGTCAGGGATGTAACATGTTAGTGTTAGTGATGATGTATATATAATTAAATAATAAAAAACCTTCAAATAAATTAATTTCAATCATATTTTTTTACTTTTACTAGGTAGGTACCAAACGAATATGTTGCGTGTGATGCACATCATGGGCACGCGATTTGAATCGAACTGTTGGTATTGACCCGACAGACGTGAGCACACCGCCTTGACTATATAGAAACCAAACCGCGACTTTCGAACTATAGATTTGCATTAACAACTCATAAATCATAATCCGCGGTACGGCAGGGTTAGCAACATAGATACCTAACCATTTGCACCCCAAAAAATAAGCTAAGATTTCATTATTATTTACTTTCACAATAAACTGATCTTATTGATGTTTAATACAAAAAGATAAAAGCAAAATTTAATCTTTACTCCTTATTTCCGAAAAACTCAGAAACCCGGATTCGAACCCTCGGCCCTCTGCTCTTTAGGTCCTTCTTCAACTCTTTACTACCAACGGTTTCTCCTATTTCCAAGGGTAAAAAAAGTTAGAGTAACAAAAAATATTCTTAATTTGCTATATTTATTTGCTTGTGAATATGACATTAAGTATTGTCGGATGTAATATTATGTCGTGCGATGTCCTGTTCCCTTGATTCTTTGATTTATTGCAAATATAATTGGAAATATCAACCAATTTTATGAGCTAATGATACAGGAAATTATGATATCCGTAGGGGCAACCCTGTAGAAGGTTAGAGGCGTAGCAAGGGCTAGTTCCTGTGCGACTAATGTACCTTTGTGCGCGATCGTAAAGGTAGGGTGAGTGGCCGGACTGACGCGGTTGTCACTGGCTCTCTGTACTCCTGCGCAGTTGTTCATGGAAGTTTATTTTCAGTTATGAACTTTCTTAGGATGCCGGCGTGCTGACGCTACGATTTTACCAAGTGTTAACTATGTTCACTTAGTTCGGTTTAATATTAAAAATAGCTGTGATACAAGTGATATCTTTTTAGTTACGTCGCAGTCCTGTTTCATGTACTATGTATCACATGTGTCTAGTTTTTTTTTAAATTTAAGTACTTATGTGGCAGGATCAATCTTGCGTATAGTATTTCGTTCCATTAATTCCAATAAATAATTAGTTAGTAAATAGAAGGTTTATGCTACATTAGTCACTTTAGAAGCAATGGTAGGGTTTGGATTCAAACAAACTTTTTCTCAAAAATTTTACAGTCAAGCGAAGTACATTTGAATTTTTCATATTGAATTACTGCTCATTCGTAAGGCAGATTCCCCTGAGAAGAATAAGCAAGAAACTTTAGGGGTTGCTCTTTGTAAATATACATTTTTGTACACATTTATCATTAACACTTTTATTTCAAACATAGATCGAGACTACCTATAAGAGCTAGACGGGTTAATAGCACGGATTTTTTGTCATCCAGCTAAGCAGAAGCTGTTTAATAATTGGATCTGTAATATAAATGCTCGTGAATGGCAAATTTGGAATAATGAATGCCTAATTTATGGAAACATTTTTTATAAATACATAACGTAGACGTCAATTACTAAGGTCAAAAAGCATCGTTGAACACTTTGTTCTGTGTTAGAAATGTTTGCGTAATTATTCTACTCGTATAATATTTCACAAAAGTTACTTAACAACGTATTATTGTTGAAACAGACTTCCAGAAAACAAATATGAGATCGTCAATATCTAGGAAACTGGACCGGATACAAAGGCCATTTATATTGAGTCGCTCGGGGACAGTGCCATGGAGCCCATAGAAAATTACCATTAGTTGCCTTGTCGAAAGCTGTCGCCTACGCATACTACGCTCTGTTGAAACAATTTTCACTTCACAGCGCCCTTCATCTTTATTCTAATTGCAGACCACTCTCCCTCACCAGCGTTCTCTTTTCCGTTGCATTTAATTGTTTTCGTTCAATAGAAAAAGCCATAAAAATTCAATAAAGTCTACCTACGTGGTTACGGTATTAAAATGGTAGAGTCATTATTATTACACTTAAGTTGGTACTAAATATTCCCATAAATAACATCACAGTTTAATACAAACCGACAAAGCGATGGCTTACCTAGCCAGCTATTAATGTGATTATTAGATAACATAATTCTAAGTTTCCATATGCAATTCCCAAGTGAGTGAGCAATCGATGAAGTCATTTTATCTAGTGGCCAATATCTATTATGTTTCTAGGTTAAAGGCGGAAAATGATATAGTAGACCGTCAATCGTTTTAACTGATTAAATAGTTACACATCAAAATTACAGTTACATTTGCAGTGGGAGCTTGCAAAGTCAACAATTTTATTTAACTTAAAGGATTTCCTAAATGTAATATTTCGTTTTATAAACAACGGTTGCGAATTTGGGTTCTTTCAAACAAATTAAACTTTCGCTTTAAAGCGTCAACTTCGCTTAAAGAAGTTATTACGTGTTTTTGGAAAGAGGAATAAGGCAATATTTTTACGAAGTGGTACTTTTGCTGAGGGTAATGGGGTAAATTATGGCCTACCGCAATTTATGATCCTATAGACGCCTTCTTCCGAAGTGCTAATGCTTATCCTGACATTAACGAGAGTACTAAAAATTAGAACTATTAGACTACACTAATTAAAGACATGAACTGTTTCTAATTTAATTCAGGTCCTTACATTCCGGTAGATGGTAGCTTAATAAAATTTGTCCTACCGCTTCTTAAGCAGAGGCCGTAGGTTCGAATCTGAGCTCGCACCTCTTGAGTTTTTCGGAATTTATGTGCAAAATCTGATTTTAAATTTCTGTAAAGGAAAACATCGTGATGAAAACTGCCTCCATAGTCGAACGGTTACCATTTCTGACTGCCATGCAGAGGTCCCGGGTTCGATTCCCGGGCCGGGATAAATATTTGTAATGGTCTACATTTAAATCGTGAGTTTGGGTGTAATTTGTGATTGTTTGCCTTTTTTGTTTGCATATCGAAAAAGTTTCACAACTCTCTGAAAACGTGTGAAGTCGCCAAATCGAGATTATAATCTAAAACTGAGATAATACCCCTGCCCAGCATTGGAACGTATAAATGGATTGGCGATGACTAATGCTCGTATTCCAGAACTCTACTCAATGCTCAAGTCAGGATTTGAGCAGACTTGAGTATGATTTCAAGCACTGGAAATACGACCCTAATGGCAAGGACTTGAGTATGATTTTCAGTGCTCACTGCACTACTCAAGTCCTGACTTGAGTATTGAGATTAGATTCCAACTGTTTTATTCTTGGCTTCATAAATACACTTCCATTAACTTCTTCCACATCTATTAAATTAATGAAACATTTTATGATCATTAGTTAACGTTACTCCAAAACGTTACGTTGTTTAACGGCTCATACATCTTACATAACACGGTTATAAACAAACATATCTACATATATAGGCACTACATGTGGCAGTTGATTAAGGTAACCTTGAAACTCTCATGCTATATTTACCAGGAAATCAATTTAGCAGCAAATTGCATACTCGTTCACATCTCGCCTGTTAAATAACAAAATGAAATTTCAGTATACCCTTCGTTGCCTATACCGCGTTTGTATTCGTTTTGTCACTGTTCAATATTATATTAAAGCGCGAAGGAAATCACACAGGTGCCATGAATAATTCATTGGTTTAAAGAATACGATACGCAGATGAGGCCGTCTTTTAGCTACTGAAGTCAGGAATGAATAATTTAAAGCTTGGTTAGGGTTAGGACGTGTAGATGTTTCGCTGCGATATCCGAGGACCTTTTCATTTTGTTTTTACTTCGTAAGTTGGATAAATGCAAATCTTATGAAAAAGGTCGAAATGTGTTGCTGTTTGCAATTTCGTACAAAAAAAAAACTTCGTCTTCATTTTAATATTATAGAACGGGCGTTCTGGAATACTGTTCACCGAAGTGGTTATTAACCTCGACTAGATGGTTATTTGTAAGTTAAACAACAGGAAAACAGCAAGAAAAAAGGCTTTCGCGTTGTGTAATCTTATCAATGTTAATGTTTGTTTTGTCTGAAATTTTTCAAAACGGATTTAGTGTGCAAATTTATACGTTGATAGGTGATGTGATGACGATGATGATAACTTTGAAATTTATCTTTATATACCTCAGAGGTCATAAGATAACAAATGTTACCTATCATGTATGTTTACAAGTTTCATGCAGATCCAAATAAAGTAAGGTTGTTTATGACAGGATAGAAGAATCATATTCAAACACAATGATACTGAGTAGTAGTAGCAACTTCGGCAGATACATTGAAGCCATGGCCAAAAATACAGCGAGGAATCTTGG